GGTTTGAGATACATTTGTCCCTTTTTCGGAGGCTTTCACATCCCACAACCACACTTATTCGGCATTTTACAACACTAAAACTCAACACAAAAAAATATCCAGTTTCTGCCCGACTTAATAGGTTACGTAGGTACATGCAAAGGCAAATAACTAAAATACGCATAAAACACTTATTCAAATTAGACATGCTTGGCCGCCACGCTATATTGAATTTTGTTTCTGATGGATTGGATTGCCTAATGCAGAATGCTATGCCAGGTCAAGGTTCCTAAAATGCCAGGTTACCTTTACACTGTCTGGTCTAAAATTGAGACCCCTTCCTTTTGAGAAGAAGCGGCTTGGCGACGCTTCATCCTGCGGTGGCGATCTGATTGCCGGATAGCGTAGAACAGATCTCCGGAGCTAAGATCGGTATAGGAAGCCCGCACAGTACCTTAGTACATACCTACTATTATAAACGGACTCAACATTGAGGTGTATCGAATCCAACGAAACCCAAAAGATAAGATGAAATAAGGTAGTGCATTAGATCGTGACGTGACCACAGGTCACCTACATACAGATGCGAAAGAGGGCTGAATTCGTGGTTAAAGGTTATATGTAAACACAACAGGCTGGAAAACGTTCACGCACTATAAATGATCGGCCGCGTGAGCGGCAAGGGAGCCGGCTCCCCTGGTTTCGTAGCTTTGAATCGTCGACGGTAAGGATACTTACTCACGCATCTGTATTTATAGGTGGTCTGTGACGTGACAATGTGATTTGAGAGAGAGGCAGTCACGAAATGAAAATAAAACGGCGCCATTGTGCACGAATCGGTGCAATAAAAGTTGTTGTTAGCTATTAATTATGGTTCCAATATGGTCGACAAAATAAAATCTATGATCAAATAGGTAGTCATACGCAGATCCGTGACAGAGAAACATCGGGAAAGTGCATAATGTAGTTAATAAACATTATGCGAAATCATTGTCAGGTTTACGGGTGAATTCAACATATTTGCATTTAGATAAATTTATAAATTTTAAATATTTTCAACATATCATGTTTAAATTCTAATCAAATCAGCCTGCACATTGTCACAATCACTCCAAACTGTTTAATTCGAGAGAACATTTTGAGATCATCTGCAAATAATAATTTTCCAGAATAAGTTTCATCAGCTAGAACGTTAAAAAATAAAAGAAAAATAAGAGGATTTAGATTGGACCCTTGGGCTACCTACGCGTCACGCTGGCGTATAATCCCCTTGTGAAAAACAAATTGCCGCCGATGATAGGTATTATAGATAGTACCTAATACGTAAAAAGTGCTAAGAGACCATCAAAAAACCCAAATTTATGTAATCAATTAATAACACATGATTCAACCTGTCTTGGAGAAATCCGTAAAGATAGAGGTCTGTTTCCGCAGAAATCACAAACTCAGAGCAAATTTCATTGGTTGAAAATAGTCAGGAATCTTGTTGGCGATTTGGACCAATCAAAAACGCTCTGACTGGTTTGTGATTTCTGTGGAAACAGACCTCACATTCACCTAGCCACCCTTATCCAGAATTTCTTTCCTTTGATATATTCATTAGGGCTAGGCTGGTCGTCCACTCTGAATCTGGAAGCGAAAACAAGCGGCTTCGAGCTCCTGCTACACGAGCGTCAATAAGCAGCTATGGGTGAAGCGAACTCGTGGGACAGCGTCGTCCATTGGGCGCATTGGCGGCAGCAGTAATGTGCTGCTCATTGTGGTTTATGTTTATTAAATTTAAAATGGATGCAAAATGTCTGTATTTTTTAGAAAGTCTTTATTACAGTATGATAAGGCGTATAAAAGACGGTTGTGTTGGGGTATCCCATAATAAAGCCATGCTGAGAAGGTGAAAGTTTGCGACAGTCAGATACGCTCATACAAAATCGCTACAAAAAATTTGTAGAAATTGCACACGATTGATATATTGGGGGAAAATTTCCTATCTGTGACGGCTCATCAGACCTAAATACCCGAACAACCTTTGCCTCTTTTGACAGATCCGAGGTAGCATTACAACTTGATGGTGCGAAACGAGACTTTGAAATAAGTTATAGTGTTAATTTTAGTGGCACTCAGACGTATTAATTTGACTTGAAACTTGAAATAACTTCTAGTCCCCAACAGCCTCGTCCTATTGCAGATTGTAAAGATACCTACCAATGCAGACCTGATTTTATTGGTGTGAACATTTTCAATAAGCTCCCACAAGAGACCAGAGAACTTCCTGTACAAAAGTTTAAAAGATCTCTGAAGAGCTTCTTGATATAGCATGGGAGCGAATTCCTTGGTCTCGATGTTTTAGTACCGTAAGGTGGGGTTAGTTGCAACATTTTCAAAATTCTTTTGCGGATACCTTCTTTATTTTTTTGTCGAATTTGACCCAATTGGTGCCAAAATTTTAGTCTTGTGGTCTAGTATCCGATTCTAACAAAAAACTTTGAACAACATTATTATTTGATATAAATTAAAAAAAAAAACTGGGTGTTGCAAGTTGAACACCTGCAAGGGGATACTTGCAACAAGTGGCTTTTTTCAGTAGAAATTGTATTTAGGAACGCGTGTTAACTTACTTGCAACACAAAATATATATAAAAAAAAAATTGGCTAATTTTGGCCTTCAGTCAATTTTGGCCAAAAATTGGTCATGGTATGATGAGCTTCCTCCTCTTCCTTTGAAAATACAGGCTGCCTTCCAGGATCAAGGGGAAACAAGTTTCTTCTTTTCCGAGAAAGCGTTGATGGGTCAATCCCGAATTCTCGCGATGCTTCCCGAATCCCTGATCCGTTTTCGATGCATTTTCCAAAGTTTCGTTGGAATAATTACGGTAGGTCATACTCCCTAACTGTTTTTTGTATTTGCGAGGCATGATGTTGAAAGTTATCCACTTTTGTACATGCAATTCAAAAAAAAATCTTCAAACTTAACTCAAAACTAGATATTCAATGTTTTAGACTAAGCATTCAAGCACATCATATCCAAATTTGATACAAATCCTAGCGTAAATAAGCTCTGCACAGGAGAAGTTATATTGCAACAATTAGAGCATTTACTAGAGCTGTCAGAAAAGGGCGCCAAATTTTTCGTGTTTAAATTTTTTCAACGCTAAACCTACTCACATTTCAACCTACTGATCCGTACTAAACGGTAACACGTTAGCGGTTGACGCGCGACTCAAGCGAGACGAGGGGGAAAGCAAAAATTCCACCCGATGAATATAGTTGCAAGTTGTGCCACTGTTGCAAGTACCCCCACCTTACGGTATTAGGTACAGGGTGATCTATTATAAAATAAATGTCACCCCCTCCTAACTTTTCATTTGACGTTTTTGACAAAGGTGTCAAAAACTATAAAAAAGTTTTGAGAAATTGTCAAAAGTTTTCAATTAAGTCATTTTAACAGGGTGCGTCAAAAAGTGTAGCATTGGCCGTTTTCGATTCGCAATCGGTTCGGCCTTGGTTGGTTCGGATGTGACAGAAGTTGGTTGACATCTTTTGAATTTGGTCTGTCAAAAACGGCGCCATGTTTTAAGGTTATAAAAGCAAACCGAAATTCAAACCAAAATTCGAACCAACTTGCGAAGCTGGTTCGAATTTAGACGGACCAAGCGATGCCTGTCACGTCACCGGTTTGCAATCGAAAATGGTTGGTTCTAATTTGGTTTGCCTTGATGACGGACCAAAGCGAATCGAAAACAGCCATTGTGAAGTAATATAATTTTTAATGGAACACCATTGTATATTGTGCGCTTATTTGTTAGTCCCCTTCAACCTGATTTCAACGATATACCTAATGGTTTGATATGTCTATTTTCAATAGTTATAGGGAAAAACATGAAAACCCCTTTCAAGGTCTCATGTTGAAGAAAGAAAAATTATACCATTTAAGCCTTAGAGAATTGTTTATAAACAATTTATTGTTCAAATGTTATTCATTAATTTATAGGGGGAAATATTATAATAAATCCAGATGTCTTAAAGCTATTATTATTATTAAAAAAAAAACTAACTTGAGACTTTGGAAGGGATCTTGGCCTTTTTCCTTGTTGAAGATGAACCGAGAGATAAACATATCAAACCGTATATCGTTGAAATCAGGTTGAAGGGTACTAATAGATAAGCGCACAATATAAATGGTCTTCATCCATTTAAAAAAATACAACTTCGCTCTACTACACTTTTTTGGCGCACCCTGTATGCTTAAAACTGACTTAATTAAAAACTTTTGACAATTTCTTAAAACTTTTGTATCTGTCGCTTCTGTCAAAAAAGTCCAAATAAAAAAGTTAGGAGAGGGTCACATTTATGATAGATCACCCTGTACCTATATGTTATTTTTAACCGTTTCAATAGGATATTTTAAATGTAGTGTTTTCATTAACTGTTTTTCATTGCATTCTTACATTGAGTTTTAAATTTAGGAATAACAGTAGGCATTTGTAGTGTTATAGTTATAAAATTACCTTTGACGTAAGTGCGAATTGCATATTTTGACATTGATTTTTCGACTAAAATAAATAAGATAGGTAAATTAATTTGACACCAACTCGTATTAGTCAGTTTGTGAGGTTATATTTTGGTATTTTGTGGCTTATTGAGGTTTATTACTTAGCACTAAACTACACAAGTAACTTCAATTATAGTCTGCCGCATGACAGAAAAAGGATTAAAAGAATGCCCCACATTATTTGTTGGCTTTGTCTCTTCAACAGTCTTACCTATATAGTATTTCTGGATCGTTTTAGTAAGTTTGCTAAGCATTTACTTCTTCTCCCCCTTCAAGGCGTCGCTCTTTATCACCCATGCGGCGGACTATAACTAGCCAAAAACGGTGACGACATTCCATATTATAAAAGACATCACATTGTTTTTATAATCAAAATTATTTGTTCAGGGCAAGTCAACACGAAATTGACCACCGGATTATGGGGAATGAAAAATTTAAGGGCTAGCGGTTGACATATGAGATGTAGAATGTAAGAAAATAACATCACAGGCATTTATTTATTAAATAAATATGGCACAGACAATAACGATTGAACAAATTAGAAGCAATAGACGCAATGGCAATGACAAGAACATCACTTAATGACTAGATAATATTATATTATTACACTAACTATTATTTGAACAATCCATTTCACGAATGTATGTGTTAATGGTTTTGCTAAAATTTAAAAATCATTCCAACTTATTTTGTTTTATAGACCATTTCAAAATTTAAACGACAGTCTCCAGGCAAAAGTGGAACTAATATAAAACAAAAAAACTGCCGAAGTACTTATAATAATTGAAAGTAGATAACATCACATATATCATACAGTGTCACCATTATAAACTCTATATCATATGGGATATGGGATTTTTGCTTATTATTTCCAAGAAAAAAATGACGATATAAAGACCAAACCTATATGGAAAACTTAATATTTTACTTATTTTCTGGATTTAGCAAAACCACATTAAGACATACATTCCAATATTATCACAAAAACAACAACAAACATAAATAAAAATATTTAACATTATTGAATAGTGGCATACCATTAAAACATGACTAGCTTTGTTGCAAACATTACTATAATACATATGGCATCAATAGAACACCGTGAAAAATAGATGAATAGAAATAACAGAGGTGAAGCATAAACTGGCGTTGTGCAATGATGTAATTTCAGGGGGACATACATGAAACTTCGTTAAGAAATTTAGATGCATTTTTAATCAAATTTCCGATCATTGTACCTTCCGAAGGAGCAGACTTCCCTAGATTTCCGATTTTTTTTTTACTTTATCCAATAATTAAATTTGTTGAGCCCTAATAATATTTATTTTGAAAGCTAGGCTAGTTATTGGAAAACACATGCAAGATCATCTTTTACTAAATTCCTGTTATTTCTTTTCATTTATCGGTAGGGTTGAGGTAGGAAAAAAGAACAATAACCTTAATTGTAAGCTAACCCGCTTGAGAATAAAAATATTCATGGACAAACGAAACTTTTTTTTTGTTAAATAATTTTATCGCTCACTCTTCATTTCAGTCTTATGCTGGCTTCCCACCGCTCGTGATATCGCAGGCCTACGCGTGCCCGCACACGCTGCGCCGACTCGCGCGTTTGAAGCCACCGACTTTCGACGGATCGGTCGCGCCATCACGGATCATCATGTGCTAGCTCGAGAAGCACCCTTCCCATGGAGCGCTGGCGCGTGCTGGCGAAACCCGGCTTGCGAATATCACGTGCCATGGGAAGCCAGCTTTAAAAATACAATAATATTAATTATATTTTGGCATTATCTTATTAGGATCTGCATCTGCTAATAATAAACTTACATAACATTAGTCAAGCTTTGAACAATTGACCCCAGTCAAATTGCTATGATCGTATCGTCTATTTCGGATTTCGGGAAATCGCTTTGAAAAATAAATTATAATACTTCAAAAATGTTGTAACCTCTTCTCTCTAGATGAGAACGGTTTGACAAATTTAAATTACAATTATTAATTCAATAAGAATATAGGAAAATAATTTCAATAATAAATCAAAACCAGCAAAATGGCGGTCAATTGACCAAAACTTCATATAACATACATAAATATAACAAGAGAGGTAGGTTTAAAAAAATCAAAAACTATAATAACGGGAAATCAAGCAATATCCTCTACTCAAACCGCCGTGGAAATATATAGAGATATGGATTATGACAAGATATAAAATATGCAAGATTTTTAACCAGACTTGTGTCACTATACGTGTCATCCTCCCAATGCAAAAATGACCGGTTAACTTCAGGATAGGTATGCGTTTCCACCAAGTACGACGATGTGATGTTTTCGTCTCTGGGGAGCTGCTCCGATAGTTCTTATTAGGACATTTTAAGTTGATTTCATTTCTTGTTTGACGCAGATCTTGAAGGCTTGCCAACCTTCGTTTTTGGCATAGGACTAAAAATATTAATAAAATCAAAACATTTTTGAAAATATTTAAAATTGGTTCATTCATAGTATGCTCAGCAACTGCAGTATGGTCAGCCTAGACACAATTGCCGAATGCAGAATTCAACCATTGCTCGATTTTCGACAGAGGGGATATTTTCTTGGATTGGCTTTAACCTTGCTTACCCAAAATTGATAGAAAATAGGTAAATTGTTGTGGAGAATGCCTCCCATACACAGATATTGGTTTTTTAAGTTCTTTCGTACCACAAAACGTTCCACAAAAATACTTGAATGAATTATGAAATTTGGCTGACTGGAAATCTTATCACAAAAGACAGCAGACAGTTTTTCCAATAGTGTAATACAAAATGACAATGTATAAAAATATAAATGATAGATATGTGCCAGGTTCAAATGAAATGAATTTTATCATATTCTAGATCACCAAACTGTAAATGTAACAAACTTAGAACAGCCCAATACAATAACAACAAACTTCATCTGTTGGTAAAAAAAGATTTACAGGGTGTACCATTTAAAACGAAACAGGCTACATATCTAATGTCACGTTTATTTTTTTAAAAATCGCTCGTACACGTAATTTGATTTTCAAAGGGAGAAGCTTTCTGCAACCATTTTTAGCACTTCAACCCTCTAGGCGGGGTGGGACCAGCCGTTCCTATTTCAAATGGAACAAGGGGTCGATTGATACCTCTCTTAAAGAAGCGTTCAATTCTCTTTCATTTGATGTCATTTAAAAGAAAATTGAACGCTCCTTTGAAACAGGTATCACTCGACCCCCTGTTGCATGTGGAATGGTAAGGGTTGGTTCCACCTCCCCTAGAGGGTTAAGTTAGTGCTGAAAATGTTTCAAACACTCACACAACAAATTACGTGGACCAGCGATTTTTGAAAAATATAAAAGTGACATCAGATATTTAGCCTGTTTCGTTTTAAATGGTATACCCTGTATAAGTACGCTCCATTCATTGCCATATTTATTTCTAAATGGAATAAGTCTTTCAATAAAATTAATCAAGCTTTTAGCAGACATCATAATGTTATGGTCTACGTTACAACTATCACAAAATATCTTGCTGTTCCATGAATTTCTATCGATAACTCCAAAGTATGTGACCAGGGCCGTATCTAGGGGGGGGTTTTGGGGGTTCAAACCCCCCCAAAAAATAATAAAATTCAAAAAATTTAACTTAAAAACAAACAACACTTATTAAATAGGTACTTATTTTTATTTTTTTTTTATTATTACTAGTGTAACAATTTTTTTTTGCCACTTTGTGTAACCCCCCCCAAAATTTTGGTCTAGATACGGCCCTGTATGTGACCTACTTATGATTTTTTCCAGAATGCTTCGCTTTTATTATTTTTTTTTTAAATATTAGTTGGGACTGTTGGGAACAATAGATCTATTCTACTGGCTTAACCGTTACTTGATAAAAATTCATTATGCTCTATGAAATTCCTTTTTTTTCAGATTATTTTTTAATCACAACATACGTTTTGACGCGCAGTGTCTTTTTCAGGTAGATAAAGTATCAATTATTATTGAAATCCAAATTTATTTGTCCAGTTTGACAATACTGCATTCCAGTATATAAATGAAATCACTAGAGGAATCAGCTAGTCATTACTCACATCGGTTTAACAATCGCCTAGAGGTATTTTGAAAAAATGTGGCTTTGTACCTATATCAGAAAAAATAGATAATTACTTACTTTAAATCCTCTGTGCAATCGATCCTTCATAATTGCTATAAACTCTCTGTAACTCAATAATCCATCACCATCCTCATCAAAGATGGCAAATACTGTATCTACCAAATGTGGACTTAAGTTTGTACCTGTACATATTTTCACAGCCCTATGAAATTCATCTAAAAAAAAATAATTGAAATAATTTGTCCATCCATTGAATTGAAAAATAAAGTACCTTTTGAAATGGGATGATCCGCTAAGGTATACATGCGCATAGCAATACTGAAATCTTCCAGATTATTCAAAAACTGACAAAACACATGAAATTCCTCAAAAGTAATTCCTTGAGCATCCTTAATTCTATCCAAAAGTCGGTCTAGATACATGTCATATTCGTCGGTATCCAAATATGTGTATCTAAGCAAAATTTTTGCAAAATCAATTTCAGAAATCGTAGGTAAGCCTTTGGAAAACTCACTAAACTCCAATTCTAGAACCTCAGTCTGTAAGTGAAGCATAAATTTTCTGAAACTCTCAAAGTTTAGGTCCGAATTGCCTTTAGCGCCAAAAAAGTGAATTAACAAAGTTGTATTCACAATATGTCTTCTTTGTAAGCCTTGATCATCATTCACATATTGTTCTTGAACTGGTGTCGATTCTAAGGGCTCAGCTTCCGGCGTCAATCCCCTTTTTCCTTTCCAAGCATGGCTAAATATTTTTTCCATCTACAGACATATTGAAAAAGATAAGCTATTCCAGACATAAGAACAAAATAGTTATTATCCTAACAAGTGCAGAAAATTATACTTTCCCGCATGCGACTGCCGTTAACCCGAACGACGCGGAGCGGAGTTCAGGTAAGCAGTCAAGGGCGGAAAAGATACTTTATGCATGAGTTAAGATCAAAATCTTTTCTACGACCTTAGCAAAGTAGGGCACAAAGAAAATATGCCTTTTTTTATTGATTGTGATCACCGACGAAAATTACTGATTCTTCAACAAACTGGTAATATTACAACTGCTGGGATCAGTGTTCGACGCCACTGCCAAGTCGTCGGTAACAGGTGGAGTCACTGGAGACGAGGATTCCAATCTCAGCTCTGGTACCTTCTGCGAATGACTGCCTGACAATGGAGATTTTGCGTCAATTGTCAGAATTTTTTCATATTAAAAGTTACTTTCCCTCACTGAGTGCGGGAAAGTGGACAAAATTGCACGGTCGTAGAAAAAATACGTTTTCATATTAGACACACCTACTGGCCACTAAATTAATGAAAAACAAGACAAAAAGCATGCTGACATAACTAAGCAAAAAGTTCCAAAAATAAAAAAACACACAATTAATATAAAAAAAGTACAATAATATGTAGGTACATATTCGCGAAATAATTGTCTATTGGCAAAATAAAGAAATAATGGTCATTTTTCATCTTTTACTTTACAAAGTAATACTTTAATTTCATTGTAGTTAATGCATTATCAAAGGCGATGATGTGAATGTTCTGGCTCACAAACCTGCTTTGCGCATATAAGAGTTTGAATCACTTCTCTCTTGTCTCATGGAGAGCACTTAAAATTCTAAAATATACAGGGTGTTTTTTAAGTTGGGGTTTTTCTTTTAAGATGACATAGAACTTAAAAAAATAAACGAATTTTTCAAATAGTTTTTTGAAAACTCAAAAATAAAGGAGGAGCATTCGCCATTTTAGATATCAAAAATTAAATAAGTTTGCAAAAACTTTATTTAATACAAAAAAAAAGGTAAAATTCTAACAAAAATTGTAGAAAATCTGAAAGATAATGGAAATTCGAACAACCTATTTAAAAAAATCAAATAAGTCCCTGTGCAAATACAAATAATACAAAAAAGGTAAAATTCTAAAAAGAATTTTCCTTTATTTGTGATCTTAAACACTCATAAAATTAATAATATTCATTGAAATAAACGGCACGTAGCGAACAGTATTTGTCGATATTACAAATTATAAAGGAGTGAAGTAAGAGACAATATGTTTTTATAAGTTTTTGTTCAAAGTTACAGGACCGTTCAAAGTAATAGGGTTTTACGGTATTTAAAATGTCTAATGACCGTTTCCACCAACTATTTTAGGGGAGCCTTAGTGATAAGAGCTCGATGGTGATAAGTATTCCTTAAAATGACAGTCTTCCATAGAGAAATGTCAGTTTAAGGAATACTTATTGTTAAGGCTTCCCTAAAATCGTTGGTGGGACATAAATCTTTATTTTTGAGTTTATGAGAAAATGTTATTTGGAAAATTCGTTCACTTTTTTAAGTTCTATGTCATCCTACAAGGAAAACCCAACTTAAATAACACCCTCGGTTTATGTTGGCTTGCAATAAACACAGTGGTTCTCATTTCTACGAATAGATCCGGAAAGGAGATCTGTCGGTTGGTTGTTGTCAGTGTCGAGTAAATTTTTTTTTCTCATTGATTGAATTCGTAGGATCCATCACATACTCGATCATATAGTATATAAAACAGCAGTTCGGTTTCTTTGTAGCTGCTTTCAAAGTTTTCTGTTTAAACGTCTCCATGAATTCAAAATGCCATAATATTCAGCTTGAAAAGAAAATGTGCAAAATAGTCGCATTGGTTTTTGAAGCTCACTGTTTCCAAATAATATTAATAATAATTTGTGAACACAGATCTTAACAGATTTCCGATTGCAACTCCATCAATTTGTTACAGACATCCCCATTAAACTAAGAGATTGAAGTTTACCGGTAATTTTTCGGTTATTTTGGAAATATTTCATGAAACAAACAATTATGACTATATACTATACAGTGAGGGGCAGGCTACTAGGTATATAGGATATAACTTGACGAATTTGCAAGCGTCCGCATGTGGCAAAATGACAAATATATTTAGTGCTAAAGGGTCATTTACATCCACTTAACTTAACTTGACGTACGGAAAATTAATAATAAAAAAAAATTGAAGATCACATAGTTGTTACATCCACTTAAAAATTAAGAAAATTAACGTGACACACGAAAAGTTGAACCAACTTAAGAAAATCCGTGCAATAAATAATAATTTCCATTTTTGTGCATATAATTTGACTTGACAGTTCAGGTTATAAGTGCGCATACGTCATGTAAGATAATTTACTTCATTGTTAACAGACACCTTCTCAGTTTCGTACGTTAGTTATAATTTTCCGTACCTTAAGTTAAGTTAAGTGGATGTGAATGACCCCTAACTCATGACAACCAGGTAAAAACAAAACGTGAAAAGACTTGTCACTCAAAAAACTAAGGCTAAAGACACAATGGCTGAGATACGTTTTCGGATACGAGACTAGGTGCTGAATTACAGAAGCTCTGCAACAGCAAGATACAAATGCAGGACCTGCAAGTCTGACTTTTTGTACTACAGAAGCAGAATGCATTTGCAAGTCGCCTGCAAATTTGCTCATAGCGAAACAGTCCCGTAAGTTCTTGCAGTTACTTTGACAACTTTGACATATAAAACTGGTAAATCAGTAGCGCCCAAACACTTTTTTGATAAATATGACGGACTTGCAGTTTTTTTTCTGTAATTTGCTCGTTCCTGCAAATGGAGCACATCTGCAAGTCGGCCATATTTGCAGAACTGCAAATTTGCAGATACAAATATACTGTAATTGGGCCCTTGGCCTGTAACTATGCGGCCTACGAAACCACCGTATCTATTCTGCGCGTGCGCAGATCGATGCGGAGACGGATACATATAAAAATTCAGGATAAGCAAGTTGACACTTTAAGCAGGTCCTGAATTTCAAACGTAGGTATCTAACGCAGGATAGATAGTGAATACGGTGGTCTCGTTGCGTTACGTTGTCCGTATCGTTACGGGCCTAGCCTCGTATCTGTATCCGAAAACGTATCTCAATCATTTGACACTATTGAGGGATCTACCTGTCAGTTATTACTAAAATAACTTCAAGAACATAAACACAGTACTTATGGATAAAAATAAAACCTACAAACACAGCTACAAAATCAAAACAAAACTTTTTGTGGTTAGAAAACGTGTCATCATACGATCGTTTACGTAATGTATGACCATGAAAGGACTTTTAGGCGGTCAACGTAAGTCGATGCGTTCATAGAAGCGGATACGGATACGTAGGAATATTTAGGGTTTGCTTAAAGTGTCTAGTGTCTACATTGATAACCAACGCTTAGCTATCTGCACGCGTAAACTTAATAATTATAAATAAATAAAGCTTGACGAAATATCTGAAAGCATGGCGCAGACGCTACGTTTTGCACAACGTTTTGTCTGCATACAGTTAAAAACTTAGAGCAGGTAAAGCGCTGTCCTACGGACATAAGGAGTAGGAACGCGCCATTCTACTATGGCACTAAAGTGAAGCCAGTTTTTGGCAGGTGTTTGTACACCAAATGACAGGTAAAGCATTGAATTGCCTATACCGCCATTATTTTGGATCCCAAAATACCTGGAAAAATACGGCTTCAAATTCCAACTTTATGTTCCTACTCCTCCCACCTAGGAAATTACCTGCTCTAAGGTTAAACACGTTGCAGACAAAACGTTTTGATCAGTAAGCTGAACCGTAGCGTCTGAACTGTGCTTAAGTCTGTATCTAAATCGTACTGAAGTAAACAAACGTCAAAGTTGTTGAACGAACGACAGTGACAGGGGTTCAAACGGCTGCGGACGGTGGTAAATTCGTCAAGTTGGATCCTATATACCTATATAGCTAGTAGTACCTAACCTCATAGAAATATTACAATATTTAAACAAATAATAATACCTAATTCCTAAAACGAAAAACGAGCAAAGAAAATCAAACAAAAATAAAACAGAAATAGATTCTCCTAATCTGGTGCTTAACTAAATAGTAAAGTAAATACCTACTTTTAAAGGGCAGAAAGAAAACAAATAAATAAAATTAGCTGAACAAGTATAGCATAAGAGATAACTCTGTCAAGAAAATTAATTACTTTAAGGGCACAGTATAGGGTTGGCAAAAGCCCAGGTTTTTGAAAATTTCTATTGGTTTTTTGGGTTTTTGCGAGAGTTGTGCTTTTGTAGCGTTGTTGTGTTTCAAGATCTTTGACTCTTTGACATTCCAAATAATCTCGAACTCAGAATTCAACAAAAACCCACCGGGTCTTTGAAATAGGTTTTTCCTACAAGCACAATGTTTTAATTCAAAATATAGGTATATATTTTTTACTTCAAATCAAATTACTATCTATAGGTACTATTTTCCATTGAGAAAACCTAGATCTTACAGAGATTTTTTGATCAATTTTTGATAAATGAGATGGACAAAAAGACTTGTGGAAAAACATTACACCTAACTTCTGCGGAAAATATCTTTTCCACCCTTGACAGCTTGCCAACTGCCGTCCCGTGCGGAAAAGCACCACTTTCCGCACTTGTTAGTTAAATAACTATTTGTTTACCGGTAAAGAAATGTGTCGGGTTAAATTACCTTATCAAAATTACCGTTACCGCCATAACGTTACCACATTTTAATCCCTAATTAAACTGGAAATAAGTGGTGGTCGGGCAAAGTTCAAACAGGGCAGTAATGTCTGCTAAACTTTAACTACAATGAAACTACCAGCCATATTAGCTTCAATGAAAATTTAAACGCTCATCATACAGGAAACAGCTAAATGCCTTCTTATAAACGGCCTGGACAATATTTTTTCAATAAAATAAAAAAATCGTATTGAATATTTGTAAATTCTTACAGTGTTTCACAAACATCGAAACAGGGCCGTTTTAGGGTATTTTAAGGTCGATTTAAAAAAAAAAACGCTAGGACAAGTTATTTTTGTTTTCAAGGGGGAAACTTTTTGACTCCATCGGTATTTCGCTAGGGTGCACCTCCTGGGTGGGGTGACTTTCACCCCTCTTCTTTAGATAGGGAAGATGGGTGGAGTGGTACATTGTTTTGAAGGTATTTTGATGATTCTTATCACAACTGCGTATTTTTTTTTTTTGAAAATCGAATGATTCGTTCTCAAGATATTCACTGTCAAATTTGCCATGGGCTTTATTATTATTAACACTTTCTTGACTTTCCTCTCAGACACGTCAATTTGTGTGCTTCTGAAAAAATAAAAATTGACTTGTCGGAGAGGAAAGTGTTAATTTGAGAATAACAGTGCCAGAAGATTATTTCTTATTTAGCCCATGGCAACTTTGACAGTGAATATCTTGAGAACTAATCATTCGATTTTCAAAAAAAATACGCAGTTGTGAAGGGAATCGAAATACCTTTAAAACAAGGTACTACTCGACCCATCTTTTCTATCTAAAAAAGAGGGGTGACAGTTACCCCACCCAGGGGGTGCACCCTAGTGAAATACCGATGGGGTCGAAAAGTTTCCCCCTTGAATACAAAAATGACGTGTCCGAGAGTTTTTTTTTAAATCGACCTTAAAATACCCCAAAACGCGTCTGTTTCGATGTTTGTGAACTACCGTGTATATTTATATAGTACCTATATTTCAGGAACCCCGTTTTAGGCAAAACAAGTTTTCCATGAAAGTGGTACATAGCTCCAAGAATTGTTACATACTTTCAACTGGCAATAAGGAAAAGGAAGAGTTTACGTTTACATGTGAACAGTGAAATATTCTTTAATTTAAAAAAGAAAAGTTACAAAATAAATAAAAGGTAAGTACAAAAAGTTTTCAAACCAATAAAAACGCAATCTGACAAAGCAAATCTTTAGAAGGTAATTCATAGTAGGTAGCTACCTATTTTATTCAAGTTTACTTGCATTATGCACTTTTAAAACAAGAATACCACTATAGACGAATAATACCAGAACAATAAGTGCAATGCGTTACATTAACTGTTACTGAAAAACACGCAAACCGAAAATTGTAGAGCACTCCACAAAGGTTGCCAATAGTTTCTCGTTTTTGGGGAAAATTTATCACTACTGAATCTAAATTTGATAGGCATTTATCATATTTATCTCAATAATTTTTATAGAGAAAATTATAAAATTTCATTTTATACTTCTAACTTCAGCTAGAGGATCATAAATTAGTTGTTTCAAATTATGAAAATATATAAATAATCCAATATCTAAGTATTTGGCCATATGGGATACACAACTTGGCATTATCAATCTGCCATCTACGACTGATTTGAATGCAGATTATTTTCGTTCCAGTCAGATGCTGCCTATTTTCATAAGACTTATCAAGAGATAGCAACACCTATAGGAGCGGCAAAGCTTCCCATAAGCAGTCTTGGTATTATTCGTATGCTACCACTAATGTAAAACCTAATAAAGACAAGGAGGTAGAACATTATTGTTTTCAATTAGAAGCATGATCCGATATGCTCTTAACTTTTAACTTACAGGTTCAGAGTCTTCAAATTTTTTACCAGCCAAAAGTTTTTCAATCTACAGTAGGAAAAAATAGCAAAAATGAAAAAAAATAACAATAAAATGAACTAGGAAAATTAAGGATCAACTGTACTGTACTAAAATATTATTTCAATAGACTTTGTTTTATTCTTACCACAAGAAATTCATTTTTGTCAACTCGTTGATTTCCATCAGTGTCAAACATGTTGAAGGCTATATGGAAGCCTGATTGAGGCTCTACAAGTTTTAGGTAGGTATGTATTTAAAATTTTGACACATTATCCAAAATCAAATAATTACTTACTTGTCAGAATGGAAAGAAGAAATAAATATTCTGTGTAGGAAATTATACCTGAAAATGAATGGTTCAATAAACATGTATCACAAACTAAGATATATTGATAACCTTTATCTCTTAAGGCTCGAAACATATGGGGACTGCCTTGACTTAATGTTGGTGTGTAGTCTTTAAGTTTTTCAATATCCTTTTGATTTAGAACTTTCCTTTTAAATCTGGCTGAAAAATAGTCACTACTTCTTCTGATAATATTTGCTCTAACGGTACTTACGCCTTGGCTCAGCCTCAACAACTGATTCCAAGAAATCTTGAGGTGTCATATATAGTTGTCCATCAAACTCCACAGAGGCGAATCGAATAAACCTCTTTTCTCTTGATGTTAATTTGACAGTTTTCGTTTCTTCATCCTTCAATTAGTTAAAAGTTATGCTTTAAAAACTTTTGAGATGATTAATAATAAATTTTTAAATCATTTTATTTAACTAAATGATTTTGTTGAGATTTTTTTTAAAATAGTGAATTAGGGTGGAGAGTTGGGCAGATGCGTCAAGTATAGGCAGGAAATTTTCCAACAATTTGTACAACAAGTTTTGTGAGTAGTTTTGTAACCCCAATTTTTAAGGTTGGTGACAATTACAAAATTGAAAATCACAGGCTATTTTTATTCCTGACATAATTTGGATATACTGCAGAATAATTGAAACAAATGGAAAGATATACTACCTGATACAAGACCTGATACATATACATGTATAAGTAATCAATGTCAGTTAATTAATAGTACAGGGTCATCGGTCATCTAACAAGGACTGAATAGGAGTTGATAGGGGATTATTTTTGACTTTCCCTGTATTTTTGGGAAAATTCAAAATAGCCAATTAGAATTTTTTTTCTGGAGAGCTCAATAATGGTACCGAAAAATCATTTGAACTAAAAACCAAAGAGTTAGACCATGGATGAGCTGTTTTTTAAATGGAACAGCCTGTTACTTGTATGATGTTTGAAGAAGTCGCACTTTTTTACATCCATTCTGTTGAAAATATCTGATATTCCGGTGGCTGTTTTTTTCAATTTTATTGTTTTATTCTTATTGATTTTGGCTTTACCTGTTTGATACATGGCAACAGAATACAAAGATTTTATATATCCTTAGCACCTACTATGAACCAATTAAATCCAACACGTATAGCTGAAATTATTTAGTATAAAACATTAAAATAAAATAAAAACAGCTATCGGATATCAAATATGTTCAACAGGACAGAAGTAAAAAATGAGACTTTTCCAAAAATCATACAAAAAACACAGCGTTCTATTTAAGAAACAGTTCATCCATCGCGTAACTCTTTGGTTTTTGGTTCAAACGATTTTTTGGTACCATTTTTGAATTCTTCAGAAAAAAATATTCCAATTGGCTATCTGAATTTTCTCAAAAAAACAGGGAAAGTCAAAAATTGCCCCTGTTCAGTCCTCGTTGGATGACCTAAAACCTGTATCTAACAGTATTGTAAAACCAACAGTCACCTGCGACTATTGATTTAAATGCTGTTTGTGTGCCCGAATAAAATCCATCATATCAAAAGTCACAAAAATCTGAGCAAAAATTCTTCACTGTGATCCACAAGAAGAATCGTTATAAAATAAACAAGAATTTTTTTAGAAGTATTGCGGGACTTCGCACGGTAATTCGATGGTATTTCGGGTACTTCGACGGTAATTCCATGGGATTTCGCGTACTTCGACGGGAATACCTGGTATTTCGAGGTACTTCACGGTATTTCTAGGTACTTCGAAGTATTTCGGAGGTAATTCGGGCCAAGTGTACACGTATTTCGGGAAGTGGTTGACCCCTCGTCATTATATATTGTGTATTTGATTTTTTTTCAACATTTTTTCAACATTTTATTCTTAGACTTATTTTTTGTAAAATTGGGAATTTCCTGTTGATGAATAAATAAACATAAACATAAATAGGTAACCAAAGGAACGGCAGGGTGGTGTTGTCCCCTTTAATCAACGTAGGTAATTATTTTTATTTAGCTTTGTCAATAAGATAACTCTTCCGACAATAAAGCATGTTTTGATTTGATTTGATCTAGAAAATTGGACTATTCATCTCAAGATCGGGATATCGCCTGGCTATGTGTTGGTATATAGGTGAATGTAATTTGAAAGTGAGCGTTCTTTTAGGCCCATCTTGCAATAATGAGAATTTTTTCATTGATTTAGAAACCATTTCATCAAAACATTCTCAGAAACACATCCTTGTTGTGTTGGAGATATGAATTATGAAAATCTAATGACACTATGTAATTTTAAAATTATATTGTATGTTGTTTCTTTAGACAATGCAACTTGGGTAACAGTCAATAGTAAAAGTTTAATTGATCATGTTATGTCTAGCAATCACAAATTAATAGCACTAGATACATATTATTTAAAGCCTCATATCCATTTGCAAGTAAATTTGCTTAGAGCACTCTCACAAGTCACTTGCATTGCATGTAAACAAGCAGCGTAGAGACATCTTGCTGAAAGTTTACTTGCCCGTCAAATACTTCCCGACTTGTTAGAGCTTGTAGTGTACACGGCCGATCTAAGCAAATTAGTTTGCACGGTTTGATTTCGAGACCGTTCCGAAATATTTGCAGCAAGTTTTGAAAGGACGTGTTTTCAAGTGGAGTATATACCTATTTACAAAAACGGAGAAATGGAATAGAGAAGAAACTACCATGTTGATAGAAAATTTTGAACTGTATCCTGAATTATGGGATGTACATTGTAAAGATTTTAAGAATAGGGTGAAGAAGCAAGCCGCTCTAGAAAAATTAGCAGGACTATTCGAGACATCTGAAAATGAAATTCAACGCAACCCACATTTTCCTTCGCTTTTTGACATTTTCCTTTTTTTTAATTTGATTTTTCAATTTGATACCTATATATCACAACTGCAGCAGCAGCAGCGGCAATTTGCTGGGATGACATTATGTGTACATGTTTCAGTAAAGAACTAGGCAAACGGGCTTGCTATAGTAACTTGCCAGAAGAAAAATTGGAAACAATTACAATACAATGTAGACACACCAGCAAGTACTTGCTGAAAAAACTATCGCAAGTTACTTGCAAGTGGACACGAGCCTTAACATGCCACTAGGAATTTAGATAACTACTTAATTATGTATTGAGTTTATCCTCGGAGATGTATGTATATAAAATATCCCAGCTAATATCCAAAAATAGTATTGGCACCGGCCCAGCCACTGGCATCCAAACTAGGTTAACCATAAAAAAATTGAACAATTGAAATATTTGGATAATCTGAATTTTCCTACAGCTATAAATTAAAAAGATTTAATAAATAAATAATTATGTGACTACTTACGCTTTTTAATTGGGCTGCATAAACTTTTCCAAAGGATTGAAATTTTAAAGTGGCATATAATAAAGCAATTCCTCCAGTGACAACACTTGTAAATGGTAAATAGATATTTCGTGGGATATTTCTATTTTCATTACCAATGGTTTTACCAAATTGCCTAAAGAAATTCGGGTTGTACTTTTTTAAATCTCGAAGGAGCTTGCAGAGAGCAGCCATGGTCTTTAGCAGAAAATAGCTCCGATACTCAAATAAATCCGATCTTCAAAACAAAAACACAACACAAGCTCAGTGGCGTGCTACCCAGCAATAGTTGCATTCCTTTCAGTAGTTTAAAACACTCGAACTACTTGCTCCGGTGTAGTCGCCCCCGATTTGAAAGGAACAGAATGCGTGGTGCAACAAACACTTTTCGAAAGGAATAAGCGCGTAACGCCCCGAAGCTGTTCCGGAGCTCCTCCTAGATGTGAAAAGAATACACCTATTGCTACCAAATGTGGCTCATGACAGATGAATGGCAGGCAGTAGTAGTAGTTGTATTCCTTTCACACCTAGGAGGAGCTCCGGAACAGCTCCGGGGCTTCACGCACTTATTCCTTTCGAAAATTGTTTGTTGCACCACGCATATGTTCCCTGCAAATCGGGGGCGACTAAGCACCGAAGCGAGTAGCTCAAGTGTTTCAAGCTTTTGAAAGGAATACAACTAGTGGCGGACGGTAAACCAATGAACTATCGAGGAGAATACACACTTTCTGCCTATTCTCACGCATAAAACCTCAAGTTGTCGTTGCATTGTCAAAAAAAGAGCGGATTTCGCGCAAGTGAGAATAGTTGTATTCCTTTCATACCTAGGAGGAGCTCTCCGGAACAGCTTCGGGGCTTCACGCGCTTATTCCTTTCGAAAAGTGTTTGTTGCACCCAATGAACTATAGCTAAAAACTGGAATGCGCACGCCGCACACATTGCCATATCTGCCAAAAAAATGTAGCCATGAAAGACAGATGCCACAAAGGGGAATGTTGTTTTTTTCTGTTGCTCGCTGTCATATGACGTTTTCGAAAGTTTTGTCATATTTCCCTTCACAGGTTTCATCAATTGGAATACGTGTTGGAAGCAATTTTCGCCATTAAACATAATGAGTGCGACAAAAACAGGCATCCCCTCCGCAGCAGCCGCACTAGGGTTCACGTTCGTCCTTATGTGTTATCATTCCAGTTTTTGGTTATAGTTCATTGGTTGCACCACGCATCTATTCACTGCAAATCGGGGGCTACTAAAAACCGGAGCGAGTAGCTCGAGTGTTTCAAACTCTTGAAAGGAATACAACTGTTGAGGCATGGATTGCTTATCGGCCTCGTTTTGTGTAATCGCAGCCATAATAGTTGTATTCCTTTCAAGAGTTTAAAACACTCGAGCTGTTTGCTCCGGTGTTAGTCGCCCCCGATTTTGAAAGGAACAGATGCGTGGTGCAACAAACACTTTTCGAAAGGAATAAACGCGTGAAGCCCCGGAGCTGTTCCGGAGCTCCTTCTAGATGTGAAAGGAATATAACTATTGGTGTGTCACCATTTCCGGCGTCATAACTAAGTCGTCAGCTGTTTGCACTAGCGGTCGTAGTTTAGGATTTAAATTTATGATGAAAGATATTAATTTTGATTAACATAAGAGGCAAAGAGGAAGATAAAAACGGGATCTGAAAAAGAACTGTTTTAGAATGTTAATTAATTTAGTAAAACCAAGTATGCGTATAGAGCCGTTTTACACGGCAAAGTTTCTTCACGAAATTATTCACGAAATTATTGCCGAAATATTTCGTAAGTTTACTATTCTTGGTTTCGCTTTTTCCTGTTTGACACGACAAATAAAAGTCTAGCAAAAGTTTCGTGAAAAAATTAGTCATACGCAGGCGCAGTTACGTTTTGCCATCAATAATATCAAATCATAACCTAATACTTTGATAAACCAAAACAAATAAAACTTTCGTTTTCTATTTGTTGTTGAATCTTTGTACCCTCCTGCAGTTTCATAAAGTTGAATTTGTTTTTTCCTTTTTGTTTATTTTTTTTATTTGCCCAGCTGTTTTTGGGTGCATTACATTGTTCACCGATGAGCAGTCTACCCTTATCTATTACATAGGAAATTCAATGACGCATTCATAGGCTCCACGAAAAGGAAACTGCCTTTTAGGGTGCGCTGAAACTCACGCATATTTTCGGCCACGCCCACAAAAACTAGAACATTTTCGAAAGTTTATTAGCGAAATATTTCGTAAGTTTTTCTTGTCGTGTAAAACAGGAAAAGTTGACTTACGAAATATTTCGGCAACAATTTCGTAAGTAATTTCGTGAAGAAACTTTGCCGTGTAAAACGGCTCAAGCAAAAGCCCGCGGAATCATAACCTGTGGTGCAAACAGCCTACGCCAAGGCGAGAAAGGACATATGTTGCCTACGTCACAATCGGTGATTTGGCGTGTTGTGTTTTGTGCTTCACGCACAGTGCAGCACAGTGTTCTGTGATTTTTGAAATGCAAAAGTTAGCAGCTATCGAAGCGCAGTACGGCTGGAACACGAACACGCGCTTGAAGCATTTGCGCGCGCAAAAGCTCGATTGCGTGCTCAAAATGGTCAGCTGGAAAGCGGCTTTTGTTGGCTTCACTTTTTGGCGGATATGGCAGTAGGACCTATTTATTTTACCAGACAAACGCCCGTATTCACCAAAATCAACTTAGCTATCTGATAGCTGTCAGTCTGTTAACATTTATCAGTCCGATAACAGCAAGTTTGTATTCACCTTTGAATATAAAACTACAGGAAGGAGCATAACCTCGAATCTGTGCGACCAGCAGAATATGTGGAGGTTGCATATGGCCGAATAGTGTTTCCGGTTTGGCAGTGGCGTATATCTATTTAAATATGTTTGTTAATATTATGACTCACTCTTTTCGCACTAATCCCAGTGCTTATTATCACTCAAAACCGCTAAAATCCATTGAAGATGCACTTGAATGAGAACACAGCGAACCACCAAAACAAATTATAAGTCATACTTGGAGGTTCAATATGGCCGTTTCCGTCCCTCCGTTATCTGTAGTTGAGCCAATTTTAAGCGAATAACCACAATTTTGTGGTTTTAACCGCGGTTACGCTTTGGTTCAAGATGACAGATCACTTGATGACGTCATTCCATTGTATTCGCTTAAACGCGTTTGGTATTAACCGCGGTTACCCCTGTTGTGTTATTGCTATTTGTTTATATTTTGAATTTTGATTTCATGCTGGCCGGAAAATGGAAAAGAGGAGAGAACTTGCCTTTTTATTTGGAGATGTGTTTTTTTTGAAGACAGTGCGGAAATAATTGATTTGTTAGGAAATCTACCAATTTGTTGCATTTTTTTTAAAAAAAGGAAAGACATGAGACCGAAAATCAATTGAAACAGATAATACTTGCTATTAAGAGTAAATTAGCTGTTTCTAAAAGCCGGTATTTCAAATGTAATCTTAAAATCAAGATTTACCAAAGGTATCCTTAACGTTAAGGTGAACTTGAAATCAGTTCATTCAGGTAACTTAAGATAAGCTTAAGATCCACCTTGAATTAGGGGAACTTTTATACTTTGATATACGGTGAAACTTGTATTAAAGATGACTTAACGTTATTTTAACGTGACATTGAAATACCGACACAGTCTCCAGTCTCCAACCTGTATTTGGTAATCCGCACCTTCATGACTTTTGCTTAGGGAAGTATCCATAATTTCTGGCCCTTTTTTTACTTCATAATACCAAACAAACTGCTAAAAAAAATAAACAACTTGCTAAAAACCCGCCAAAAATGCAATGTCAACAATTCAAATAATAACCGCAAAATAAAAACCACTCCCGAGCTGGGTTAAAACCGCAATTTTGCGGTGATAAGTATGACATTTTACAGCTGATCCATGACGTCACGGAGTCATAACCAAAAGAAAAACCAAAGTCGCATAAATGTTGTGGTAAATACCAATCCGAAATGGTAAAAACCAATCTCGTTTGGTTATTCGCTTAAAATTGGCTCAAAGATATTCACCAATAAAAATGGTCCTTCAGACAACAAACAGGCTGATAAAAATAAAAATCCATATATTCTATGAACAGTTTTTCTCTTCATTTCATTTAACAACCTCAAAATTTGTCTGTATTATATTTATTTATTAATAATAACTTTTCTTGGGCTGTGAAACAAGAGTAAACAACTTGAGAAATATTTAATCGGGAATAAGAAAACCATAACCAATACAGTACAGTTGGTTGTGATTGTTGTGAAACATTGAAATGGTCACCGCATTACAAAGTTGAAAAGACCCGGTGGCAATTAAAATCTGATTTTTTTTAGATTGGTTTATTTTCTTTCGTCCGCAATGGCTCCAAGACTAGGTTCAGTGTTTAGTGACGTTTATTTTCAGCCTTTGAAAGCTATTTTTGTTTATTCTGAATCTTTTATGAAACTCCAAATCATCCAATTCAGTGAATAAAAGATTCTTGCCCTCACATTTCTGGGCCTGGGAAGATCTTCATCTGATATATGGATCATCCAATGAACCTCCAAAAAAATTCAGGTCAATTTCAACCATTCTGTTCATTTTGCCAAAAAATAAAAACTTATAAAGAACACAGAAATCCACAAAAATCAACGTCAACATAAAATTAATCAGCAAACTAGCAAACCCGACGTATTTCTCTATTGAAGCGATTATATTCGCTCTTCTACGAGTGAAAAACAAAGGCACTGTCCGTATGTGGTCGGTTTTCAGCTAGTACTTGTAGGAATAATTACAGTGGAATAACCGTTCGTTGAGAACAAACGGAACACCCCTGGAGTGCGTTCAAAATCACCCTGGGCGTCACACCGAGTGAGCCACTATAACCGAGTGCAGACCAGAGGAATAATTCGTAGCGTGTGCACTCGGTGTGACGCCCATTGTGATTTCGAACGCACCCCTGATGTCAACCTGTCATTTATCTATTTATCAATATGCCAACAAACGTCAACATTCAATCAACAATGAGCAAAAGTTTTGTTTTATTAATGAATTTATGAAATCTCCTCATTTGTATTAAGTTTTTTTTTTAGCTAGGATAAGTTTTTCATTAGTTTGGAGTGAATTTGTTGATGAAAAATGAACGGTTTAAGTTTTAGTGAATTTTGTTGCTTGTTTTGTTGTCCGCCTTGTCCCAGCAGAATAGCTGCAAAATTAGCATTCATACCACCAGAGCCCACATACGAATTTGCCCCTGATGAAAATGGAAAATGTAATTTCGCTCTGACTGAAAGGGCGGAATGGCAATTCACGGAGAGAGAAAAAGAATTTATTGATGCCTTCTACACAAGAACAACCAGGGGAAATAAAATAGCCTGTTTATTTATTAGATGTTGCAGTACTGCTAGGTTCACAATACTTTTTTCACATGCGAATGCAGTTGATCTTGGACAAATGAGTAGTTTTTATTGGGGCCTAGGAACACGAATGAACTGTAATATATTTAGTTATGATTATTCAGGGTATGGTGTTAGCGGGGGAAAACCCTCCGAAAAAAATCTGTATGCTGATATTGATGCGGCATGGCAAGCCCTCAGAACAAGATATGGAATTAGCCCAGAAAATATTATTTTATATGGACAAAGTATTGGTACTGTACCCACTGTTGATTTAGCTGCTCGATATGAAGTTGGAGCTGTGATATTGCATTCACCTCTCATTTCTGGAATGAAAGTTGCTTTTCCTAACACAAAGAGAACTTGGTTCTTCGATGCCTTTCCCAGGTGAGTTATTTATTTATTACTGAGTCATTTATCAAGGGTTGGTTTGTCCAGATGCTTATTTCTTAACCACTAATTCAAAATACCTACTTGGAATTCGAATAATGGAAACTAAACAATATGCTTTCCTTTTTTTGACATTAAAAAATCATAACTTTCCTTTCAGTGGGTCTATACCGAGGTCTATACAGTGTGGTTATTTAAGTCTGCAACATATGGAATTTTTTTTTAGCAATAGCACAACCAAAATAGAAACAAGGCCAAAAGTTGGTGCGTGTCTGATAATCATATTAATAATAATGCTTTATTGTCAAAAAAATTATAACATAATTTGTAGACAAAGCCTTAAAGTTAAAAATACATATTATATACATCTACATGTATACAAAGTCAAAATAAAATGATATAAACATAAACAAATATAACATGAACAAATATAAAAATGAACAAATTACCTATAAACTATGATCCAGTGTGTAGAACGCTCAAAATTATGTCAGAAAAAAGTAATTTACTTTATATAAGGCTCTCTCTGATAAATAGGATTTTAGAGCTATGCGAAATTTAGGAAGAGATGCTATGGACTTGATGACTACTGGCAGATGATTGTGCATTTTTTTTGCGTTGTATAGAATGGAGCTCTTAATTAACTCGGAGGATGGAGTTGGCAGATAAAGATCATGCTCCGCGTTTCTAAGTGGATAGTTATGCAATGGCCTTTCTGAAATACTGGGTAGGTGTTTGCGGATAAGGCAGACTGATTCTAGTATGAAAAGGGAAAGAAGTGTTAATATTTTATATTTTTTGAAAAAATCTTGGCAATGAACTCTATTTTTTAATTTTAGAAAATATCTAATAGCTCTCTTTTGTAATTTAAAAATACGGTCAAATTGAGTCGCACAGCACGAACCCCAGAATGGAAGGGCGTATCGAAGATGTGATTCGAAAAGGGCAAAGTAGACTGTTCTAGAAGTTGACAAGTTGAGTTCCTTGGAAACTGATCTTATCGCAAAGCAAGCGGAACTTAATTTTTTTGATAAAGAATCGATGTGCGAATTCCATTTTAGGGATTTGTCTATAATAAGGCCCAAAAACATTACGGAATCAACGACGTCAATAGTAGTAGTGTTATTAAGTACAATAGGTTGCATCGTACTTCTATATGATAGAACTTTTGTTTTCGCAGCGTTGAAGCAGAGGAACTTAGAGTAGCACCATGTTTTAATAGCCAACAAGTCGATGGACATGGTTCTATGAAGAGCTACAATATCCGGGTTGCTCCAAGTGAAACTAGTATCATCAGCAAAAAGACAGATTTTACCGCTGATGTCTAGACTAGCAATATCGTTGATAAACAGCAAAAATAATATTGGTCCCAACACGGAACCCTGTGGAACTCCACATTCTATTGGCTTGCATGAAGACATCGTCGTATCAACCCTCACAAGCTGTTTTCTGTTGTTAGGATACGACTTGAACCATTCCAGAGGAGAGCCTCGAATTCCATAATGCTGCAATTTGTTAATTAGGATATTATGACTTACACAGTCGAATGCTTTAGAAAAATCGCAGAAAATTGATGCTGTGGAGTGCAAATTGTTCAAGCTAGAGAAGACATTATTGAAGACAGAGAACATAGCATCAATAGTGCATTTGTTGGTTAAAAATCCAAATTGGTGGATAGTTAGTATATTATATTTATGCAGAAATGATAGAAGCCTTTTCTTAACCAATCTTTCAATGATTTTGGATAAAGTAGGAAGAAGTGCAATTGGACGATAGTTCGACTCTTGGTCCTTATCACCTCCCTTGTGCAGAGGAATAATTATAGCCGTCTTGAGGCAATCTGGGAACACTCCTTGTTGAAAAGATTTATTTATTAAAGCAGTGAGGAGATTTAATGTACACTCCGGTAGATTGAAGAACATTTTTAAAGTAAGTCCATCAGTCCCAGATGACATTTTGTTTTTTATGTCTTTAATTGTGCTGAAAAGCTCTAGTGTTTCTACGGGTGTTAGGAAGAAACTGTGTAAATTCATATTGGTACTGGAAAGATATGAAAGCGGATCGCGAGAAGGAGCTATAGTGGTCATTAAATTTTTTGCCACATTTACAAAGTAGTTATTCAGGTTCTCAGGGGAGGTAGAGGTTATACTGGAAGAGATAGCCTTATTTCTCAAGTCCTTGACAATAGACCACGTTTCTTTGGCAATATTTTCAGTTCTAGCGAACCGGTTGTTATAATAGGTGTCTTTGGCGGCTTTTATAGTTTTATGATAAATTTTTCTATAGAGTTTCACGTAATTTTGAAAGAAGAGACTGTCTGAAAATTTTTTTAGGTGTGACAATGAGCGCATGTTCTTTGCCGATGTCCGCAAGCCTTTAGTAGTACAGGGTTTATGTTGCTTATTTTTGATAGGCCTAAGGGGAAATGCTTTGAAAGCCAAACCAGATAATTTATTTGAAAATGTTGAAAATGCATTATTGATGTCATCAGAGAGGCAACCCCAGTCAATTGTTTGACATGAGCGCTTGAAATTGAGGAAATTTTTTTCCGAATAAATTCGGCGAAACTTACGTGGGGCAATCCTGCTATTGCTCTTTAGAGAAAAGTTTGTGAGTACTGCTTCATGATCTGAAAACCCTGAACTTAAGACAGTACAGTCAACAAAGCTTGGATCAAAAGATGACACGACGTAGTCGATAGTGCTAGATCTGGTTTTAGTTATTCGGGTTGGAGATTGAACATGCATGACCATACCAAAAGAGTCAAGTATAGACTGGAGAGAATCTCGAGCAGCACACACACTGGAAAAATCTATGTTAAAGTTGCCACATAAAATTAATTTACTCTTAAGAGGGAACGACTCAAGCAAGCTTAGTAAGTTTTGAAAAAATGTAACCAAGTCAGCGTCAGGTGTTCTGTAAATACAAACAATGTAGAGGTCGTAGATATTGTTGTAGACTATAGAAAATTCGAATAATTTTTCAGATAATAAATTGTCGCACTTGGTTATCGCCGAAAAGTTGTTATTAGTGGACATTATTACAGTACCTCCATGAGATAGTATACTTCTAGTATACCTAGATACTGTAGTGTAGTTTTTGACAAACACAGGCTCGTCAATATTGAGCCAATGTTCTGTTATGGCAATAATTTCTGGAAAATGTAGGTGTTCTAATAATAAATATAATTCATCGGTTTTGTGTCTAATGGACTGAATATTGATGAGAAATACAATAAGCTTGCTATCGTTTATTGTTTCAGAGGGTGCTTGTTCCTCTATTCGCGTCAAAGTTTCTAAAAATTTTTGTTATTTGGAGAACCACCAGAAAAGTACTTAGAATGACTCTCCCCTCGACTCTTCCTAATTTTTTGAAGCTGATGGATTTTTTCCGAAGAGAAAAACGATCTGAAGGCAGAAAGATCCGCTTCAACTTCTACCGAATCGATGCCATAGGCGCTGTGGAAACGATAATACAGCTTGCGTAAGGAATCTACGTCACTCGGTAGGCCCTCTGATGCTAACACTAATTCAATGCTGGTGTTGGTGTAACCTTCAAAACACACATTGGGGGGCTGGTCGTGGAGATAGGCTAGGTAAAGCCTAAGAGTTTTTAAGATGGAAGGGTCTCTCAATCTAGCCAGTAGATAGTGTCCATTTGCTATATCGGAGTTTCGCGATATTCGCACTATAGGTGGGGTCATCAGGTCAAAGTTGCGCATTGTGTCGTTATTCACATTTGACTCTAAAATAATATCAGCGTTACTTTGGTGAATATGAGACTTACATGCAGCAATGGCCTCTCTATCGGATCCAATCTTGATTGATTTATTCTCTGTAGGCTTTTTCTTGGAATTGCAGTCTGGAGGAAGGCTTCGGGTCGCTGCAGTGGTTAGGTCGATTTGTTGAAGACTTGTTGTAGAAATAGTATGTACAGGTGATGTTAAATTTGAGGGTGCTAAAGATGACAAGGCAGTGTTTATTGAACTACCGGGCGGCCACATACTTATGTCCTTCAACTGTTCAAAATGTTTCTTGCTTTTCACGCCAATTTTGAATTCGGAAAGTGAACTGTCATCATTTTTCAGCATGGAAAAACAACGGATAAAGTCTGTTGTTCCAAGTTTTTCCTTAACATAGTGAGCAATTTGGTTTGAAGTGTAAGAGACGGGAATTTTAGACAGAATCAAGTAATGCCAATCTTCTTTTTTAATGGTCTTATAAGTTATGGGTGTTTTAACTTCAACTGGAGTAGCCACTTTCTTGTGATGCATGTCAGTTTGTGTCGAATTTGACTTATTTGTCCCTAGCTGAGAGGTCTTGATGTTGGGTTTATCTTTAGCAGCTAATTTTTCCATCATAAGTGACATCTGATCAATATTTTTACGCAAATCACCTATTTCCTTTATTAATTCATTTTTTGATGTATCATGTACCTGGATCTTAATAGATTCATCATGATTGTCCATGAAAACAGATGACAAATTAAAAATATCTTGTTTCATTTCTCTTATAGATTTGAATAGAGATTCTTGTCCATTGTCCGAGATTTTGGTTTGGTGGCTGTGAATGTCGTCTATTTTTTGGTTCAGTTGCTTCCATACGGAGTCGTGACTACTCAAAATGTCGTAAATTTCTGTAATGACAGGAAGAAGGTCATTGTTTTTTTTTAAACAGGCTCCGAGAGCTTCGACATTTTCCATAGAAATCTGGGAAAAGTTTAAATAACTTTAAAGAACTGGATCAATAACAAGGTAACTAGGTCAAGTTTATAAAATACACGCACAACGAAAACGAACACAACGATGTGTGCAAACAAAACAAATCAAGTCAAAACAAACTAAGTCAAAACAAATCAAATTTGCAATACTCGCGGGAGCTGCCGAACGAAAGCACAACCGTTCAGTATGAATGCTCGAAGTACTGTGCACTTAGAATGGTTGCAAGTCAAACAGCATACAGGGTAGCTCAAAAAATAAATAAAACCTATAATAAATA